TATATATAAGAGAGTGGATTGTTATTAATGATTCAAAATTTTATTGAAAAGTAGTCAGCACACGTGTGCTCAAACCGTTCTGTTTTAAGCTGAAAGTAAATTTGCAAACAGTTCGGATATGTAAAATGTACATTTTAAAATTTCAATAGGAGAAACTTTGATCTTGAATCCTTGTCTGGGACCTGATCTCTTGGGGTTATTTTGTTTTGGTTTTAGTTGTGAAAACACCAAACATGTCCAGTTTATAATCAGTACATTGAAATGCTGGTAGTATTGCTGTAGTAGACTTAATGCGTAGTGTTATTTTTTTTCTGTTTGTTTTTTTGGGTTTTTTTGTAAAGTGTGAATAAAAGGTGTTTTACTCATGTTTCCTTAATGATGTCTTGGTAATGTACATCATGACAATTTCCAGTGATGATGAGCCAATTTAGCTTGTCAAACTGAGCAAACTATTTTTCTTTTTCTGATTATCTGGATTGTGTAACGAGTCCAGAAAGCTTTACAGAAGGGGAAGGGAAGCACTTACTCATTTTGTATTTCTTAGAGGGGGATAATTTACTTTAATAGATGCTGGAGCTTGAGTGCACTTGTTAGATTCTAAAGGTTTGAGCTTTATCCAATATGTGTTCTCCTGTATTGCTTAGTCTTAAAAAATATTTGAATTTATGACAGCATGTTAAAATATGGCCCCTTGTGCTTTTGGAGGCACAACTGTTCCTGCTTAGTCACCTTACAGTCTAAGGGTCCATTTAAACAACCGTTTCCTCCAGCTTTTATACTAGTCCATCAGGTCCCAATCGAAAAACCCACTGAATACATTGAAGACATTCCTTTGACTTCACTGGGTTTTAACTGGACTGCAGCTATGACTCAGGGGCTGAAGGAAGGAGAAATATTTTGAATATAGGGAAAGGCCAGATGGCACCAAAACAGAGCTGAGATAAACTTTGTCAAACAATCTTTCAAAGAAAATATATTCCTGTGTCAAACAAATCTAACTCAGAAGTCTCAATTCCAGCTATAACATAGAATAAGGCAATAAACCGTGTCTTCACAAAATCAAAATGTTTCCTTCATAGTTTTTAACATAAAATAGTTACTGGCAATATTTTTATTCAAGGTGGTTTTGGGTGTTGCCATAATGTACCTTCAGTGTTCTTGTTGTAAAAGCACATACAGCAAAAGTCACAGAACATCCTTGGGGTTGAAAGGGTTTATTTAGGTTAGACCAGGCTTTTTTACCACTTAAAATACAGCCAGCCATATCTTGTCTAGTTTTATTTACATTTACCAAGAATTCTGGGTGTCAAAGTGTAAATTGAAATACACCTTTAACTAAAAGAATTGATTAGAGCACAAGACTAATACCACAAGTTACTGCTTTAACATAACACAAGTAGGGGGGAAAAAGAGCATATAAGTCGGTGCGTGTTGTAATGATTTTGTCCTTTTAGCAGCTTTAAAAAAAAAAAAAAAAGGTAAATTTGGCTAGCATTTGGCAAAACTGACTTTAAGAACATTGTATGTATGCGTCTTTGATGTAACTTTAGCAAATCTCTCAAGTTTGGTTGTTTTTTCTTTAGAGCCGATTTAGAAAATAGCTTATGGTTTGCTTTTTCAACCACACAAAACCTGTATGAAGGACAAAATAATTACAACACCATTGGGGGGAAAAAAAACCCAACTAATTACACTGTAAAACTTAAAAAAAATTCAGTTAACCGCTTAAGTAGCAAGCCTTTTTCATCCAGCCGGACACAGTATTTTTTTAGTATGTTAACTGCTATTCTTTTCTTTTGGTTGCATAATTTTGTAATACTTAAGTGTCTTGGTATGTTTAAGTAGTGTCTAAAATAGAATATCTTTAGTCTTTATTCACAGTACTTCTGTATAATGTGTAATGCACTGGACTAACTCTTGTTTACCATTCATGTAACAAAAACCAGCACATTATCTGCACTAAGCTCAAAGAATGTTGCATTTGTCTATAGGCAGCTCTTCAATAAGATAAACGGGAAACTGAATATGGTCTGATGGTAAACAAGGGCTTTTACTGTTCTCTTCAGTGGAACTTTTCTTGGTCAAAAATTTTAACTAGTTAGTATTATATTTATATACAGGGTCTTCTTTTTCTTTACCAATGTATTTTCCTACTCATAGCTGACCAATAAATCCAATATCTGTTTCAAACCTTGAAGTCTAATTCATATTTTAACTTAATTCCTAAAGCTTTTCCTGAAGAGTTACACATACAGCCAAAGTGAGTGAAGTGTGTTCAAGGTAAAATGGAAGCATGTAAGAAACTTGATAATCCCAGAAAGACTTTCCTGTACTTTCTGTAACTTTCTAGATCTGCAGACCAGAAAGCTACTTGAATCAGTTGGGTTTGGATTGCGAAGTGAAGACCTGGTTCGTAATGCCTACAGAGTTTGTGGAAAACCTGAGTCCAAACCTACTCAGATCTCAACCCTATGTCTTCATATCTGGCCATCTTCTGACCTTCCCAAGTGAACCAGTAAGGTCAGTTGTGCAGTGTAGGGTCCACAGGTTTTGTCTGGGTCCTGTAGACCCTGCTCCTTCTTTCCTCTTCCCACCCCAGAAAGCTCAAAGTAGACTTGGGGTCTGGCAGTGGGAAGGGATTCAAATATACAATTAATTTACCATTGAAGGGGAACAAAGTGAAGATTTCTTGCATCTTTTTTTTTTCCCCCCGCATCAAAGTGTATGTGTAACAGTGCACAGACATTTTGATATGATGTTCCCATCACTAGCAGCAGAAAACGTAAAACATGAGCACACTTGCTGCATAAAGCACTGAAGCACACACGACATCTCACTGGCATCCCTGCGTCTTCAGAACTCAATGTTCAGTATGTTGGCGCTGCTTTGCTTTGAAATAAATGATCTAGTTCAGTGTTTCCATGAATACCATATATCTCTGGTTCTGTCTCATGGGTGAGATTTTAATTCCCACCATCACATTTGCAGTCTTGCCACTAGATGGTGTGTGTAACACAGGCTTCGTGTGCACAGAGAGTTGGAGTGAACATCTTTCGAGTGCCATCCAGAAAGCGTGGCTTGTAGAATTATTCTTGAGAGTATTTGTGGGATTCCAGGCCCAGGAATGAACCTTTTCCAGTGGCAGCAGTTGGTTTGGTAACGTCCGTGTCAATTAAATATTGGCTTTATAAATCCAGTTGTCATGATGGGAATAAAAACGATCTACTTGGTCCTCAATGGTAAAATCATTCTAGGGCCTTTGCTTGCTGCATTTAATCTACTTAATGTTACGTTTTAAGACGAGTACAATCGTTACACGGTTCCAAATTGGAGTTTATGAGCTCTTGCATAATATCTGCTAACCTGGCATGTAAGTATTGGGAGATCTATCGGTAGGGAAACTCTGTGCCAAAATTCACGGAGAGCCTGGAGTCCTGTCCACAGAGAGTATATGGAAAAGAGCATCTCTCAGTCAAAGATTTGAGCTGAGCTTTTGTCCTGTGGTCCTAAGCCAGGTAGGAGAAAATTTGTCTTTCCTTAACTTGCAGTAAAATAACTATAGCTATTTTAATGTAATTGAATAAAAAAAATCACTCTGGCCAGACTCCTAGTTACTGTTCCTTCATACCCCATGTCCACTGGCTCTTCAGTGATAGTACCAAGTGGGGTTTGTGCCTTGTAGGGTGGGAATATCCCAAATTGATGCAGGTGACCGCATGGCCTTTCTTTTCTACTGACACGGGTAGAACAGAGGAGCCTTAAAACATCTGGAATTGAGCCTGAAGAGAGAGAGGGAAGGAGGAGAAACAGAGAAGAAGGTAAGCGGAAAGGACAAGAATATGCAAGGTACGTCGGGTGACCTTTTGGGAGAAGCCGTACTTCATTAAAGGTGAGTGAGTGCTCTGGTTACTTTCTTTTCATCTTCCCCTCCTAATCCAGAGGCACTAATTGTTTGCTCTCTAAATGTTCGCTTACTCTGTTTGCATGGAAAGCAGTAAAGCTAATTAAGCTATGGGGAGGTTTGGTGCATTTGAATATTTTCTTATTCCAAAATAAGCCTAGTATTCTCACAGGTTATCAATTTTTGAAAGATAGGAAGGTATGTTCTGGTTAAGTCTTCCCCGTGTGTCACTGGACAGTATTTATTTCTTTTAAAAATGCTAGATGCTTATTGTAAAAAACCATACATTACAGAGAATAAAAACATATATACGCTCCTGCTGGGTTTTAATGACCGCAAAGATTTAAGCTTCAGCTAATTGTTCATAGCATGCTTTTTTTTTCCTAGTTAGTTTAGTTTAGTTTTTCTAGTTTTTTCTAGGTTTTTTCCTAGTTTTTTCTAGTTCAAAGCACAGACTGCTCCCTTTGAGTGCCAATAGTGAATTAACGGTAGTTTCTCCGCTGTGGCTAACGGCATTAATAGCTCTTCAGAGGGTGGATTTATTGATTTTTATTTCCCTTCTTCCTTTTCAAAAAATAGCATGCCAGTTAAGTCTGCTTTTTGGCCAAGAGAGCTAAGACCTGCTTTATCTAGACCAGAACCAAGCTATGTGCTGGTTTTGCTGACCCGGGCAGCAAGACACTGCCAAGATTCAGATTAGATGGGGGAAAGCCTGGAGGTGCACAAGGATTTCTTTTAACCATCTCCTCCCCTCCCACCGCTCCCAGATCAAGCAGTGGGAGAGGAGAGCGTTAGGAGTTGCATGCAAGTTGCTCTCACGAGCAGCGTGGGGTGAAGGGAAGCATCGTGTCCGGCACTGTGCTCTCCCCTGTGACAGGGCTGTTGCTTCTAACATGTCAGT